TTACAAGCAATTGAAGGAAATCGGTCGAAATCGGCATTTTTCGAGCTGGGTCACGAAAAATTCTGGAAGTATTTTTATATGATAGAGAAAATTATGCTCCTTACAATGGTGCTTTTTTCTTCAGTTAAAACGAAACAGATCGAGAGTTAGGAGCAAATAAAGAGAATTCCTTTAATTTTGCAATTTTTGAGCATGCTCAAAAAGCCTAGAAACGTCATCGAGAAGACGGAAACCTTATGAACATGGGTTTTGTGACCTTCTCTTTTTAGCTGAGCAAAAATCGTTCTAATCGAGAGCAGTTTGATTTTCGTGAAAAATGAAGGCCCGAAAAATCGAAAAAATCACGTAAAACAAAATTGCTTTCGATTAGCTCGAAACTTGCTTAGCTGAAAAGAGAATGTAACAATACCCACGTTTATGACTTTTCCGTATTTCCTGTGAGGTTTCTGGGCTTTTTTGAGCATGCTCAAAAAAGCCCAGAAACCTCACAGACCTCAAACCTCAAAACTGAAGGAATTCTCTTTATTTGCTCCTAACTTTCGATCTCTTTCGTTTCAACTTATCGGGAAAGTACCATTGTAATGAGCATAATTATATAAAATGATCAATTACATAATAATTAAATAATCATAATTAAATAATAATTACATAATCATATAAAAATACTTCCAGAATTTTTTGTCACACAGCTCGAAAAATGTCAATTTTGACTGATTTCTTTTAATTGCTTGTAACTCTCGCAGTTTCTCAAAGTAATTCATGGCTAAGGTACAGCTGTAAAGAGCATTGATTTCTCTTTCGAACAATATAACTTCAACGAAATCCATCAAGCGGCAAGGAAGTTATGATTTTTTAAAAATGATGCGCAAGAACTTTCGGATCAACCTAATATATTAGGTTGTGCCGAAAGTTCGTTCGCACCATTTTCAAAAATTCATAACTCGTTGACTTCTCAACGAATTTGAACGATCAAAATTTTGCTTAAGAAAGGAACTCATGCTATTTGCATCTGCATCCGTAATGTTCGCTAATGTTTACAAATGAAGGAGATAGAAGCTCAAAACCAAAATCACTCGAAATTTGAATTTTTCGTGTAGTGTCACAAAAAATCGGAAACTTGCAAGAAAAATCGGAGAGTCGATATTGTAGGTTCTTTCTCCAGTTCTTTCCAACAGTGCAAAGTTTGCGCCGACTGAGTGTCTCTATGAAAAGTTACGATTTCCCTGAAGCCAAAATCACTTTTAATAGAGACGCTCAATCGCTGCAAACTTTGCACTGTTGGAAAGAGCTGGTGAAAGAACCTACAATATCGACTGCTCCGATTTTTGTTGCAAGTCTTCGATTTTTTATGACACTACACGAAAAATTCAAATTTTGAGTGATTTCGGTTTTGAGCTCCTATCTCCTTCATTTGTAAACATTAACGAACATTTCGATAACAATATGTCTGTGAGAGTTGGCCATCGTTACTCCAAAAAGTACTTCTGCACTAGTGGTGTTCCACAGAGTGGTGTCTTAGCCCCCTTGCTTTTCCTGATTTACACCCTTGACCTACCTTCTACTTTGAAGACTTCCACTAGCATACACATCCGGATGTATGCTGATGACATAAAGATTTTTGCAGTCTATGATCCGGAAGTAGCTCCAGAGATTCAAATGGACTTGCGAAGGTCTCTTGATAATTTGACCAATTGGTGTGAGGTCTGGGAATAGCGCTAAATTTTGACAAATGCTCAGTGCTTCATCTTGGAGGTGAAAATACTACCTTGTATCACATCAAAGGCTCTATATTGAAGAGTTGTGATACTGTTGAAGATTTGGGTGTCGTGATTGATACAAATATTAACTTCACTGAGCACATCAATACGTTAGTCAAAAAAGCTTATTCTTCACTCTTTCTGCTTCTCCGCAATACTAATGCTAGTTCTCCGAAGATACTTATACCGCTTTATAAAGCATTAATTCTTCCTCATTTAGAATACTGTTCTCAGGTCTGGTCCCCCTTTCGTAAAAAGGATATTCGCAGAATTGAAAAGGTTCAACAGCTTTTTACACGACTATTGTATAGACGTTTGTCGCCCGGAACCACCCCTCCCGATTCAGACCCGGCTTGAGAGGTTTCATATAAAATCCTTAACAAACCGTCGTGCTTTCTTGGATCTTGTAGTTTGTTTTCAAGTTCTGAGAAGAGAGAACAAACTAAAAGCCAGTAAATACTGGATTTTTGTTCCTACAAGCGAAAGGTCAGGCTCTTTTAACTTGCAATATCCAAGAATCCGGCGCAAGAGATACTTGCTGATGTTCAACAACGTGTTCTACAGGTCGGCTAGGTGGCTTTCGCACCTCCCGGTTGAGACCACTAGTGCAGAGAGTAGTCATATTTTCAGGAGTAGACTGAGAAGGCTTGACTTGTCAGGTATCACTAACACTGATTAGTGTTGCATGACAGGGCGAGCCTTCTGCATTAGACCTTTTGGGCTTCCATTGGGTGCTTTGGACGTGCTATGATGGCAGATGGAATCGCTTTGAGCTTTGTTTTCTATCACCTTTCTTCTCCATTTTACCTCTAAAACCTGTCTTTTCAGGTGCTCGGTGATCTTGCATTGACTTGCGAGTTCAGTTGCGGCTGTAAATTATTTCTTTGACGCCTCTCGTGTATCTCCTCACGTTGCGTCAAACTTTTATTTTTGGTGTACTCGTTTTGTTCTAGTTACCAACACAGTTTCATCAGCATCTCAGTCCGAGTCTTTTTCGTTCAGCTATCTAGTAGTCAATCGTACAGCTTGCTATTTCAACAAATGGATTTAATGAGAATCGTTTCACCTTTGGGGTCATTGGGCCTCCCCAGCATTCCGGCTAGGTTGAGTGATCGTTATTATACCTGAGCCAGTAGACCTGCCTTATAAGCCGCCGGATTGCTTTTAAGAGTAACTAAAGATCGTTCCGCTGGCAACGAGGGGGCATGCCCCATCTCCATGGATTCAAAGTTTTGGAGTTATAAATCTCATGCCTACATCTGCATACTTATCTATTAGCCTACCAACATATTCAGTGCAAGCTGTTTTATCTTCTTACATTAGTCTGATTAGGATCAGACTCGGACTGACATGATGATGTCTGCATTTGTTTACATGTCTTGTTCGTTTCTGCTGTATTACTAACTTCTTGATGTGTCTTTTTTATGGAACGTCTTGAGCTACAAATGAAATGAAATGAAATTCGGGTGCAGATGCAAAGAGCATGAGTTCCTTTCTTGAGCAAAATTTTGATTGTACAAATTCGATGAAAATTCATCGAGTTATGAATTTTTGAAAATGGTGCGAACGAACTTTCGGCACAACCTGTACAAGCGTGGGCAAGATAGAATTTTCGCAAATGTTTTTGAACGCTTTGATTTCATATGATTAAGCGATTAGCTCTTTTATTAGGTTGTCTAATATGTTCGTTCGCATTTTTTTTGTTTTGATTTTTTCTCAATAATTTGCAAAGCATTTGGCAAAATTTTAGTGTGCGTTCGGAAGCTCTAATTCTGCTCTATCACACTTCTGTTACTATATTTTCAATTCTTCCAAAGTTGAACAAAAATTTGACAACACACCGAAAAAACAGAGAGGACAAAAATTTCATTTTCGATATCTTTTTTTCTTTCATGGTTTTCCCGTTACTAATTGTTAATTTTAATTCAAAAAACTTGACAACGAAGGAAAACAATTGACCAGTCATCTATGCACTTACTAAAACTGTTTACGATTGCCCCCCCTTTCACCGACCGTTTAATGCAATTTTTGCAAAAGTCGGCGTAGCAATGCTTTGCCGCAGCGGTGTTCACTGTCTCGCAAACGTGGGCTATGTGTCCCCGAATGAATTTTTGACTATATAATCCATTTATTCGATGATTTAGCGATCATAACCACAATTTTTCCAGTTCCTAGATTGTTCGGCTACCACCCTTTCTCAAAGGTGCCTTCAGATGGTTAACGTCGACTCTAAAGAGACATAAAAAACTTACCTACTTGCGAGCTCACTGTATGATTTTTTGAGAGGTTTTAGCACCTACAAGTGATCTGCAGGAGCTACGGTATTTTGTTTCTACAGGTTGCAAAATTTTTGAGCTGTTTCTTGGCCGCTCATTCCCATCCGAGACGCAGCGTAACATAGTTATCAAAAATGGGTTTTTCACCATTCAGATTTTCCGCTTTGTAGTCAAATTCTTTACTCAACTTTTCAAAAACTGGGAATATAACGAAAATATCTTGGTAGAGCAGACTTAGGGCTTCCGAATGCGTACTAACTCTAAGCCAAATGCTTTGTAAAATACTGACAAGGAAGAGTTCCCAAGTCAGCTCAGCCAAACCGAATAAGCCATACATCATCGTAACGGGCTTGAAATGTTGATTCCAAATCTGCTTTCCTTTTCTGCGGAACGAGTCTACGAAAGAAGTTGTGAGGGCTCGAAAGTTTGAATTTGTCATATTTGAAGTGGCTTATAAAATTAGCGAAAAGCTCTGAAACAACACATAGCGAACTTCAACTGGCAGTTTTCTGTCCTTGTAGCCTGTATACTCGATACAAAACTGAAAACCCACCTTTACATGATATTGTACAGCTTTCTCCAATTTTACGCCGCTTAAGACTTGACAAATTTGGACTTTTGAACGCTGATAACTTCTTTTGTGGAGTTGTTCCGCAGAAACCAAAAGCATATTCAGAATACGCGTTTCAATCCCGTTACGGTGATATATGACTCATCCGGATTGGCCGAGCTGACTTGGGAACTCTTCCTTGTGAGAAAAAATGAAACAAAAAATGCGAACGAACTTGCACAACCTAATAGTTGTCGGCCTAGAAAACTTGGCATAAATCAAAGTTGAATACAAATGTTCAAACAACATCTCAAAGAGGTTGTTTTGATCTATCAAAACAATTATGATGAAACGATGTGATGTATTGCGGTAGAAAATCAAGATGCGACACATTTTGCGTAACAAATTGGTAGGTACCTTTTTTCCCTTACAGGCCTTTAGCTCTTCCTTTTTTTCGTCTGCAGCCATGAGCAAAGCTACTATGATTGGACCACCCAATTGAAATGCTGTCCAGAGATAGCACCGTAGAGTAATCAATAAATCCTTGCTGAAATTGTAAAATTTGTAAATGTGCGATTGCCACCGTCATTTATATAAAGCAGATGAATATCGTACAGGAGCAGCACACGAACTGTGCGAAAAAAAGCCATCACCTTCCAATGCCTTTGAATAAAATGAAATGAATCTTGCTTCAAGCGAGTAGGCTACGAATGCTTTTGATAACGATAGCAATTTTAGAAGGAAAGCTCACTTGCTGAAATGCGAAAACTAATTGTAGTTAGATATGTTCATTGTTGTACAAGTTACGCACTTTTTTGTCTTGCAACCTCATAAACGGTAATTATTTTTGCTCCATTTCGGTTCATCTAACAAGACGAGCAAGATCAGAGGCGAATCCCTGGTATCGATGTAAAACAAATCAAGTTTGCCTAGGCAAAAAATAGTTTTCCTTACTTTGAAAGTGACGCAATGCTTGCTTAAACAGGTAAAACGTAAATATACTAAAATAGCTTCGCTCTTATAAACATTCTTCTTACCGGTTCCAATAACCACCTCTTAGCATGAAATCGTTCTATGTACTACAACAGTAATAAAGAGCGATAGTTTGCAAAAAGGTAGTCATTATAAATCCGATATATCAAAAATTCCATTACAAAAATTTCTTACCTTTGGTTTAGTCTTTTGCATTGGCATTTGCGATTTCTACATTGTGCTAAAAATTCTTCTTACCGTACTCCGGTATTATAGAAAGGCAATGAATGATTCGTTTTGCACTGTAAATCTGGTCGCAAATTGAATCCAGCCCTATATGATACCGTCCCCAAATTCTTCACATGAGAAAGTTATCTGAAGACCAAGTGCTCGATACGTTTTCTTGAAGCACTCTTAGCGCGACGGACGCAGGAATGGAGGACTATGGGGCTGCCCCCCGGGCATTTGCAACAAATACGTGCCCTTGCATATGCCTGGAGGGTGTATTTCTGCAAGAAGTCCGGGTACCCTCCACATTCGGCGACGTATAGTCGTCTACTTCGGACGCAGTAATCATACTGCACTGAAAGCTCTTTTACAGTGCAAAGGCTATCAATACAAATGGAATCTAAACTGATGTCTAATCAGTTCCAAAGTAATAATCTACCTGACTTGAAATAGCAGATTGAAGGTAAATTATATATGCGCCTTTCATATAATCTAACACAAAACCGTTGACAAATTGGTACAGCTAAAATTGTGAGCCACACTTCTTGTGAAACTCGACTCATGCAATTAGCCATGTAGGAGACTGGAGGATCATACTGCGAATTTCTTTGCAAAAAGTGAATGGAAAGGCACATGGTAAAGTAACTCGCTTTGTATCCAAACTTGTAAAAGAAATTTTTTCGGTGCTAAAAATGGGACTTCAAAATGACCACTGAGTTGCATGCATAAGAAAAATTATCTTAGGCGTTTTATCCTTCGTGGCGAACATTGATTTCTTGAAAATTCCTCAACTGTTCTAAGTGCTACTTGAAATTTCACTGAGAAAATTTTTGCATTTTCACTTTTATGACTGAGAAAATGGAATGTTTTTTGCTTGCATCTCGTTCAAAAGGGATCATTATTTTTGCAGTAAACTGAGTGCTTCAGTGCTAAGACTGAGGTACAGACGATATACTTAAATTTTTGAATGCGCGCCTTGTTATCCTTATTCGTCAAGTCCCAAAGGAGTAAAGCATCTTTTCTTTCGGCAACATAACGTTTAAAGCGGACGTTCCGCGCGAACAGCTGCAACAAATACTCATCCCCACATACAAGAGGTGCGCATTTGTCGCAGTTATTTGCGCTGGATCTCACTTTCGGAAACCTGCGGTCCTCTATCATCATCGCCAAACCTTGCGGACTCGTTTGCACCTACGCGCACTGAAGGTGCAAAAGCCCGAACGTCTAGTGAGAGGTTTTAGTATCAAAATACTTGATTGAGAGTTTCGAACTGTAAAATTGTAGTTTTTGTAAAGTAAGCGAGAGTTCTTCTAAATATAGAATTTTAAATCAAGCAGTGGTTAATATATTAGGTCGTTCCGAAAGTAATGTCGCTTTTTTCAAATGAACGTCACAGTTTGTGAAATAAAAATTTTCAAAAATTTATGGTGGCATTCGATGCAGCATTTCATCCTCTTTCTAATTGTGATAAAACCTTTGCAACAGTTTTAGTTAGAACTCTCAGAAAATAAGAAAAATCTGCGGCCCATGCTTTCTGAGATGGTCAAGTTTCGCAACTTTTCTCAACTTTTATTTCAATCTTCCGAAAAAGTCGTGCAACGATTCAATAGAGCAGACTTTAGAGGACACGGAACACCTTTTTTCTCTTTTTCAGATCCCGCTATAATTTTTTAAACGATTTCTTTACAAAGGCATCGGATTTAGGCAGGCCCACGTCAGCCACAATCACATGAAAAAGTGAATAAATTTTCGGAATGTGAAGCTTCCCAAACAGTACCAAAATTTAACACTAATTTCACAGCAAGTGAGAAGTTGCAGGTTTAAAATTCCAAATTTCGAACTTTTCGCGCACAGCCTTGAGCGCATTCAAAACCTGAGTTATGATGATTTTGTCCCCGAAGACTCCACGAATCGAAAACAGTAAACACCCGTTAGAAAGAGCAGAAAAAGCTGCATCGAATAGCACCCGAGCTGCTCTCCCTTCGATGTTGTGCGAGGTTTTACTTGAACAAATACGGAAATTGGTACCATCTGTCAAAATCGTTTGTGGAGAGAAGAAAAAATTGTTTTGTATCCTGTTAGGTTTGCTCTATCGAATCGTTACTCGGTCTCCTTCGGAAGATTGAAAGTTGAGAAAAGTTGCGAAATTTGAGCATCTCAAAAAGCATGGGTTACGGATTTTGGTTATTTTCCGAGATTTCACAGAAACTGCTGCAGAGATTTTATGAAATTTCATTTTTTCTTGAAAAGAGGATGAAATGCTGCATCGAATGCCACCAGAAACTCTTAGAAATCTTTATTCCACGACTTGTGGCGTTCATGTGAAAAAAGCGACATTACTTTCGGAACGACCTGATATAAATAAATACTCAATTTGATAAGCTTCTACTTAAAGTCGGCTTTATGACCCTTTTTACACAAATACTAGGATGTCCAACAAATCTACTCATATTCGACACCATAAGCCACGTAGGAGGGTGCAAATTTATGAGAGCGTTTTTTAGATGAATAAACTATGCAATGACTTATTCGCAAGAAACAAATTGCTACATGTGAACTGATAACTATTATTGTCGTTCCGAAACTAATGTCGCTTTTCGAATGAACGCCACTATTCGTGGAATCAACGTTTTCAAAGATCTTACGAGCATTCGATGCAGCATTTCTTCCTCTTTCTGGTGGGTGCAATTTCACTGCATAATGTTCAATGAGCTCTCGAAAAATTACCAAAATCTGCGACTCATGCTTTTTGCCATGGTCAAGTTCGGCTATTTTTCTAAATTTTTGTACCTAATCTCCTAAAAAGTACAAGTGGCAGGTAGATAGAGCAAACACTATATAGAACACAGAGTAATTTCTGCTTTTCCTTAGCTTGCTTCTCAGAGTTTCTACAACCAATTTCTCAATGCCATCAAATTCCATATTTAGTCAAGTCAAACCTCACAGAACAACAACCGGCAAGCGACTCGGGTGTCATTCGGTGCAGCTTTTTCTCCTCTTTCTAGCGATTGTTTTTTGTTTCCGATTCATCAAGTTTTCCTGGAATCATCATAAATCAGCTTTTCCAAGGCAATCCAAGGTGTTCCCAAAATTTTCGAAAGGGCTAAACCGAAGCGGTGAATGCTCGTTTGGTTTGTAAAATTGTTGCCAAACCATAATCTATCTTTGTAAGTTTCAAAATCCGAAGACTTGTTGGCGTTTGATGCACTTGTGTCTGAGACGAGCCTGCTAAAATTTGGATGTTCCATCAAAAAATCTGTACAAAAATCAAAATCAGCTCTGAAAATTAGAAAAAAGTTGTGCTGTTTCTTGTATGGTTTGCTCCATCCATCCATTACTTGGACTTCTTCTGAGATTTGTTATAAAATTTTAGAAAAATTGTGAAACTTGGCCATCTCAAAAAGCATAGGTCGCAGATTTTGACTCTTTTTTGGAAGCTCATTGACTGTATTGCAACAATTTCATAACCATTAGAAAGAAAATGAAATACTGCATCAAATGCTACCAGAATCTCTTACATATCTTTGTTCCACGAGATGTGTCATACGTTTGAAAGCGACATTACATTCGGAACGACCCAATAAACGCATTATTTTTTCCTTGATATCTAGTCATTAAAGAAAGGTAGCAAATGTATGTATATAGATGTGATGGGAAAAATTCATGCGTGAGCGAGTGGAAAATTGGCAGAATTTTTCAAAAACATGACACAATTATTTTTATTTTCTCAGGAATTCGGAACTTTTCATGTTGGCTCAACACTCAATGTAGACACAACACGCAAGATGAACAAATAGAAAAGGAGGGGAAAAAGTAAGAAGAGTAATGAAGGAAGGAAGAAAAGCAATGCCGTATAGCAATGGGTGACGCGGTTTTAGCGCGCATCAAATAGAGCGCGTTTTCCTCCTCAAAAAAGGGCTGATAATTTTTCTAGGTTCTAGAAAAAAGGAGGGAAAAGTGAAACCAAATTGCTACTATATAGGGAACTTTGAGTGTAGAATAAATTTACTAAAAACTTGGAAAACTTACGTAAAGTGGAAATTGGATAGGCGAAACACCTGAGGTATTCGAAATTTGGGGAAAAATTAATTGCGCCTTCTATTTGCATAAGTTTTTTCAAGATTTTTCATATTTTATTATTTAGCCTCACTGCGCGCTTACATATCAATTCTGTGGTTGCAAGATGATCGTTTCTCTATTTTTTGGTGAGTGACTTTTTCAGAAAAAAGCTTGAAAAAGCCTACATCCTTCAATCACAAAATTTTTCTATAAAACTCTGTGATAAATGCTACAGGCCGTGTCCATATAAGTACCAAGTTTTGTCCCTATCGGCACTGTGCTTTGCAAACGACCCATTTGAGCCCATTTCTCCTTCAACCGTGGAAATTTTTTGAAAAAAAAGCATGAGAGGGTGTGCCCTTCTAAACTGCTTCGTCCTATCGCTAAAAAC